AATGTAGTATTGAAATCATTTATTTTATTCTATTTAATTATTGCTACGCAAATAATAATTATTAGTATTTTATATTTGTTTTAATTGATGTGAGGGCTTAGTACTCTTGGATTTGACACGCTCGAGGTCGTAGTGGGACTCGTCGACGAGACGCAGCCAAGCGGGTGGCACGTTGATGCGCAGCTCGTCCGTGCCGGCCATGATGGCCGATGAAGATGACGTGGAGGTAGAGGATGGTGAGGACACCAAGGAATGGAGTTCGATTTCCTTGCTGCTTCCAAGGGGCTCGAACGAGGAGAGGGATGTAGAGGAAGAAGATGCTCGCGCCTTCTCGCGGTGCTCTTTGAAGAAGACACTTCGATCGCGAAATGCGCCTCCCAGCCATGCATCGCCGCCCGCGAATGAGCTCGCCTTTCGCCCATGCGCCCTCTTTAGTTTCAGCTGCGCACCAGACGGCGCCAGTGATGTGGATGATGAGACCCGCTCCATTTTACAAAAATGCACAAGCTACCACTTGCTCTTGCTCTTCAGCTGGCGCATCCAGGAATAATATTCCAAGTCATTTTATGTGTTTATTTTTTGGTTTTGTTTTAATTTCTTTGTTATTTATGTGTTTGTTTGTTGAAGGTTGGAAGATGGAGGGATCAACGAGAGGAACGATTCACACGGTGCTGTTTGACATGGATGGCCTGCTGCTGGACACAGAGGAGGTCTACACCCGCATCACACAGGAGCTTGTCGAGCCCTACGGCAAGACCTTCACCTGGGCCGTCAAGTCCAAGATGATGGGCAAGACCGCTCCCGAGGCTGCCCTCATCCTCATCCAGGTACTTGCCGTCCACGCAGCCACGCTCATCTCTTCTCATGTTCTCCTTCAATCTCCGCCCCACGAGTTTGTGTTCATCTATCTTCATCTCCGTGAAGGACCTGGAGCTGCCCATCACGGCGGAGGACTACCTGGAGTTCGTGCGCCCGCGGCAGTACGAGCTATTCCCCGATGCCAAGGCCCTGCCGGGCGTGCAGCAGCTCGTCCGACACCTGCATCACCACCGCGTCCGCAAGGCCGTTGGCACGCACACCAAGACGCTGTTACCTACACACTTTTCTCACTTCAGCTCACACTCTCGCGCTGTTGTTGTTGTGTGTGTGTGTGTGTGTGGTGCAGCGACGAGCTCGCACACAAAGGCTCTCGAGCTGAAGACGACTAAGCACCAGGACTGGTTTACCCTCTTCGAGACGGTTGTCACTGGCGATGATCCCGCGGTCAAGGCCGGCAAGCCCGCGCCCGACATCTTCATCGAGGCCGCTCGTCGCCTCGTACGCCTTGTTCTCTCTCAATGCGCTCACAACTCGTGTGTCGTGTCGTGTGCCGCGTGCCGCGTGTCGTGTGCGTCGTGTGCTGACGTCATCATTTTTTGCCAGGGCGTGGCCGACGCCGACTTTGGTGGCGTGTTGGTGTTCGAGGACGCGCCCAACGGCGTGGCGGCGGCCAAGGCGGCGGGCATGCAGGTGGTGGCCATCCCCCATCCCCTCAACGACCGCTCGCTCTTCGCCGAGGCCGACCTCATCCTGGAGAGCATGGAGCACTTTGACCCCGCCGAGTGGGCCTTGCCGCCTCTCGCGGCCACCAACGCCGAATAGTTCTTATTCATTGTCTACATTCCTTCCATTCATCTTGTGTGTGGTATGTTTGTGATTTTGACATGTTGGCTATCTGATGATGTGACGGACCACCTCCAACTATTAAGAGGAGTATAAGAAGAGAGTGTTTATGTACATGTTTAACAGTATGTGCAAAATAGGGACCTCTGGTGGAGCTACAGCCACACAGCACCAGTGTCTGAATGGTGGTATCTCACAGTTGGCATTGCCTGGGGCTGGCTTTAGATGATGACCAGCTGCTTGCTCTTGGAGTCGTTGTACTTGTCCTTGTTGGCGTCGTAGAGCTCCTTGAGCTTGGCGATGTAGACCTCGAGCTGGCGGTCGACCTCCTCGGGCGAGGGGTCCTTGTTGAGCGGCATGTCGACGGGCTGGCCGACCACGACCGTGATCTTGGCCCGCTTCGGCACCACGTTGAGCACCATCGGGAGCGTAAGGCCGAACACCCGCTGGAAGCGGCGCTTGAAGTCGTTGATGAACTTGTTGCCGCCCTGGTACAGCTTGTAGGTGCTGTTCTCGTTGAAGCTGAACACCGGCACAATCGGCGTACCATGCTCCATAGCTGAAGTTGAAGAAGAACTGATCAGCCGTGTGCGTGTGTGCGTGTGTGCGTGTGTGCGTGTGTGCGTGTGTGCGTGTGTGTCGGTGTGGGCATACCGAGCTTGATGAAGCCCTTGCGGTTCTTGAGGTAGAGTACATCCTTCTCGGGAGACACGTAGAGCGCCTCCGTCGCACCGCCGGGCACCAGCGCGATGGACATCTTGTCTTCCAGCAGCTTCTTCGCCGAGAATCGCGACGCATCCGCCATTCCCGAGTACAGCAGAAACTCTGCACCATCGCTGCTCAGCATTCGCCGCCGATCCAAACACCACAATTGATCACTGCTCAGCGCACCTCGGTACATGGGCACATAGAAGCCGAACGTGGCCACGAGCGTCTTGAAGTTGATGCCCGGGAACAGGTCCTTGAATCCGCCCTTGCACTCGTAGCCCATCGCCACAGTTGTGCCGACGGGGAGGATGCCTGCATGCGAGGGACAGTCGAGAAAGTGGTGAGCGAGCCAACAGCAGACGCACACGGTCGGAGCAGTGGGGAGAGAAGAGCGGAGTGTGGGCGTACCGTGGGGGTGGATGGCGAAGATGTACTGCTTCTCGGGGTCGAGAGGGCAGGTCCGCACCAGGTCGAGTGTGAAGTACTTCTTGGCCAGGTTCCACATCGGGCACTTACGCAGTCGTGGCGTCTGCGTCGCGGCACAAGCGTGAGACACGACGACGCGCACACGCACCCACCCACCACCGCACACGACGGTACCTTGCCGCCGTTCTGTTCGGAGAGATCGGTGTAGGGGACGGCGTAGAGGATCCAGAAAAGGGTGAGCATGGGCCAGTGGAACAGGAAGCGGTCGACCACGTAGGTCATCGGACCCACCAGCACCGCCAAGAAAAATACCCGAAGCGCCCGCTCCACCCAAGCTGCGCAAAACGCCATCATCGTATCACCGACAGGCGGTCACACCACATCACAACCACGGAGTCAGACAAGACGTCTAGCTCGTCTTCCTCTTGCCCGAGGTCTGCGGAAGGTCACATGAGGGGTAGCAAGAGGGAAAAACGGGGGGGGGCAGTACCTGGGAGGGGCTGGCCTTTGCGGCCTCGCATGGCAGCGTTGGATTCGGCAAAGTGGAAGGCTACGAGCATGAGCGCCCCAACGGTGCCGACCACGAGCCCGATGGTGAGCTCCAGGGACGGCATAATGGGCTCGGCCATGAAGGGTGGTGTTGGCAGC